TTTTTTTTTTTTTTGGTTGCAGCCATCATTGTTGTTTGGCAGCCCGGGCTGGATTTGAACCTGCCACCTTGGGTGTACGTGGCTGGCACCTTAGCCACTTGAGCCACAGGTGCCGAGCCCAGAATACAAAAGTTAACATACAAAGAAAGTAAAAGTCCTTTGAAGTATCTCTTCTTACTGTCAACTCACCTCCACTCTTTCAAAGTACTTGCTGTTGACAATTTCTTGGGAATTCTAGAAATTTTTAATTATAGATTTTCATCAGTGGGGTTGTAGTATACAGACTATTCTCTTACATAGACTTTTTTTACTTAACATTTTATTTCGAACATCTCATGTAAATACATAAAAATCTGTCTCATTGGTTTGTTTGTGGTGGAATAGTATTCTGTTGTTCTCTTACACTATAAATGTACTCGGCCAAATCCCCTATTCATTAGCATTTAGGTTATTTCCAGGTGTGTGACTGTTAACAGTTGTGTTGCAGCGAACATCCTGTATTTATATCCTTGCATTCTCATTGCCAGTGTACTTGTGGGATGAATTCCTAGCAGTGGAATTCTTTACTTAAAGGGTCTGCATATTTTTTTTAAAAATACGTCAACCTAAGCTCCCATGAATAAGAAATAAGAGGTATAGAGGAATGCCTGGCATGCTTGGCTCCCTACCACTGATCTACTGCTACTAGCAGTTTTTAATTTTTTTTCTTTACTTAATACATGAAAACGGTATCTTTAGTTTCTCTTTATACAACTTTAATTATAAGTGGGGTTAATAAGTACTTTGGAATATGTTAACAGCCATTTTTTGTGTGTGTCTTTTAATTTGAGGCTTATTTTTATTGTACACTGCTGAACTGTTAGCAGTTTGAATATGCATAAAGCAGCTATAAGCTACCAGCAAGTCCAGAGTTAGGAAAGTACGTGATATGACTTGTTTGCTTATAAAAGATTCAGAGTATTAGTTGAAGAAATTGTAATAGTCCATTTTTGCTTCTTCTATGTTAAGGACTTACAATAGTCCTTAATTTTCATTCCTTTGAGTGAATTTATGTGTTGAAACAGTACCTAACACCCTAGGTACTCAATAAATATGTATTTGTTAAGTAAATGGCTTGGCATAAACAGAAATCTGATTACCATGGTCCTGGCCTTGTGAGGGTAGAGCTGTTTTCTGTTTCCTTTTCTCTCTTTATACTTTTATACTGGATATTTATTTATTCATTTTTTGAGATAGGAGCTTCAAGCTGTTCCCCTGGGTAGGGTGCTGTGGCATCACAGCTTACAGCAACCTCCAACTTCTGGGCTCAAGCGAGTCTCCTGCCTCAGCCTCCCGAGTAGCTGGGACCACCGGTGCCCACCACAATGCCCGGCTATTTTTTGGTTGCAGCTGTCATTGTTCGGCAACCCGGGCTGGATTCGAACCTGCCACCTTGAGTGTATGTGGCTGGCACCTTAGCCACTTGAGCCACAGGCTCCGAGCCTGGATATTTATTTACAGTGCACAAAATTAGTCTTTTCTATATAAAAATGTTATATTTGGATGAGGAATGGTTAAGATTTTTTTTTTTTTTTTGAGACAGAGTCTCACTATTTCGCCCTAGGTAAAGTTCCATGGTGTCACAGCTCACAGCAGCCTCACACTCTTAGGCTTAAGTGATCCTCTTGCCTCAGCCTCTGGAGTAGCTAGGACCACAGGCACCTGCCATAACTCCCGGCTACTTTTCTTGGCTGCAGTTGTCATTGTTGTTTAGCTGGTCCAGGCCAGGCTCGAACCCACCAACTTTGGTGTATGTGGCCGGTGCTCTACTCCCTGAGCAATGGGCACTGAGCCAGGAATGGTTAAGATTTTATTGAACAATTTTGCCAGATCATGAGCATATCATTTCCCCAAAACTTAAATTGCTTTTGTCCCTGATATATACATGGCAGGCAGAAAAGTTTGAGAGTACAGGCAATCCCTGAGTTAACAAACAACCAATTTACATGCAACTCACACTTATGAAAGGAAGCTGTTACAGTAAGTCCCCAAGTTATGAACATTGACTGATATTTGACTTGCACTTATGAACAGAGGCTATTACAGGTGATAGGTAAATGTATCTTTTCCAACCTAAGGACAAGCCTACAGAACATATCTTGTTCATAATTTGGGGATTATCTAAAGTTCATTGTCTGACCCGGAACATATGTACAGTGGTGGTAGGAAAGGATATGGCCAATGAAATGGACAATTGGGAGTTGGAACAGTTCTAGTATTACTAGGCTGGATTTTGTTCCCAGTTAAGTGACTATTGTAAAAGATAACTGGAGACGTATAGCAAAAAGAAATAGTATGTGATTATGAAGGAAGAGTTCTCTTAGCCAAAAATTCTAATAGTATTTGCAAAGAGGCTACTCCAGACCTTAATCTCTTTTGGCAGTCTATACTTGCATTTAATTTTTAACATACCTGGGGATTTACCCAGAGTCTTCTGATACCAGGTAATTCCATCCACCCTAGATTCTCTCCTGTGTTCAGTAGGTCAGATTATATTCTATTTTCTCATGTTGTGAAGAACTACTATCTTCTGTCTCCTATTCTAAATGCCTTTTTTAGCAATAAATTTAAAAATCTTTAAAAGGCTGGTTTATTAAAAGAACTTTGAGTTTGGAAAAGAGTAAAAGATGATTTTTTGTTATATTTTCTAACTTAATATTTCTTCAGAAAAGGCATTGATAGCTTGAATTAAAATCTTCCCATTTCTCTCTAAAAACTTGGTTTAGGGCTGGGCATGGTGGCTCACACCTCTAATCCTAGCACTCTGGGAGGCCAAGGCAGGTGGATCCCTTGAGCTCAGGAGTTCAAGACTAGCCTGAGCAAGAGCAAGACCATCTCTACTAAAAGTAGAAAAATTAGCCAGGCATTGTGGTGGGCGCCTGTAGTCCTAGCTACTCAGAAGGCTGGGCAAGAGAATCTCTTGAGCCCTAGAGTTTGAGGTTGCCATGAGCTACAGTGATGCCATGGCACTCTTCCCTAGGGTGATCCAGAATTAAGTATACTTTTCTAACAAACCAACAAACTTTGTTTAGTATAAATAAGCCTAATAAACGAAAAACTGGTTCAATTGCCTTGCCTCATGACTGGAATTTATAATAGCATCTTTCAGACCTTTCCTGCTGAATTAAATTTATAATAACGTCTTTCAGACATTCTAAATGTTTTTTGTGTGGACAATGTACAGTTATTATAATGTACCTACCATTCCTACTGACTCATCAGGTATCTTGCAAAACTCAGGATCAAGCTGAGGAGATGTATGACAAGGTGAAACTGCTATTATGGTAATGAATCAAACTTTACACTCATGATTTACAAACTTCTCCCTGTGTGTGAATGTGCATAATTTTTAATTTAAAAAATTTTAGAGGGCGGTGCCTGTGGCTCAAAGGAGTAGGGTGCTGGCCCCATATGCCGGACATGGCAGGTTCAAACCCAGCTCCAGCCAAAAACTGCAAAAAAAAAGAAAAAAGAATTTTAGAAAGCAAGTATGCAAACAAGCACTGGGTCCTGGCATTTTTACAAAACATTTTTGTAAAAAAAAGGAAATGTAAATTTTGTAAAAAAATTTTTACCAAACATTTAAGGAAAAATAATTTTAGTTTTCTATAGTCTCTCAAAGAATAGAAAACTACCTAACCCAGTTGGAGGCCTTTATAATCTTAATACTAAAACAGTAACAATATGAGATAAGAAAAATGCAGGCCAGTCTTATACTTACAAGTACATATACAATCCTAGATAGAGTATTTATAATCTGATGAAGCAATGTATTCTTTTTTTTTTTTT